ATTATTTTGGGAGAACTATTCTTCATGGTGGTGCCAAGGCATGTCCTTTTCCATTTGTCTTATTTGAGTAGAAAATTGTAATAAGCTATTTTAATTTTGCCTGTTTCAAAGTTCAACATTTGTGCTTGTACAATTCTCCAACAGTATCGAGCAACTGGTAGAGGTTTCGTTGTCCAGCACATCAAGTTTGCTGAAAATTATCGGCTCTACTCAAGAAGTCATTTCATCAAGGCGTGAGTCATCAGGGTTTCATTGCTTTGCTTTTTGTTTGGTATTTGTTATTGCTTGAGACTGTAAATGTGTAGATTATGATAAGAGCTTAATTCTCAGGCTTGAGGTGGCACTGCTTCTAATTGTCTACATTGCATATGGGTATTCAGAAGGAGGTGCAAGTTCTTTTGTTTTGCTTACTATCAGCAGTTGGTTCCTCGTCATCTCATGGCTTTTTGCTCCTTATATCTTTAATCCATCTGGTTTTGAATGGCAAAAGTACGTCTGACTGGAGAATTTAATCCTTTTTGAATTATATTTTAGTCAGAATGTTCTGGTTTTGTACAAATGAATACTCTGATTTTACTATTTAATCAGGACTGTGGAGGATTTTGACGATTGGACCAGCTGGCTATTCTACAAAGGGGGAGTTGGGGTGAAGGGAGAAAACAGCTGGGAGTCATGGTGGGATGAAGAACAGGTGAAAGAGCTTTCATAGATTGTTATTAAAGAGCTCTTATTGTCTTTGGTGTACTTTGTGAGCATCATTTGTCCTCTAAGTAAAATTTCTTAATGCATTTAATGTGCATGATATATTAATTATGTTGTCATTTCTATTAAAGCTTCAAATTGTCATACATGAATTTTCAAATGTTAAAAAATTAGTTTAATACTTTATTTTTTTTGTCTTTCTCACTCCTTTGGAGTTTGTATCTTTGAACATTTCATGTTCCTTTTCATTTATCAATGAAAATTTCGCTTCTTGTTAAAAAAACAAAAAACAAAAAATTAGTTTAATATAGTCATTTAGCGAAAAAATTATAATTAACTGTGTTAGTCATTGGTATCTTGAAAATCCAAATTACAGTGGTAGTATTTATTATTAATTTAATTTTAATTTAGTTAGTTCAATTAATAACAAAAAAATAAATTTGAGAACATTATTTTATATTAGTTATACATCGAGTGGCAAAATAAAATGGATGTGTTCATGATTAGACGCTTTTTATTAATGTTTAATTATTCTTTAGCTTACTCATTTTATGTTGTTTGTTTTTGGGTGTATTTGTTTGTGTAGAAGGAAAGAATGAATGCAATATGAAGTTATTTTTTTTAGGAATTAACTTTCATATGTTGACACAATCATCAATACATATTGTGGTGCTCTGTGTGCAAAGACAATTTTCTGAATTAGGTCCTCTGCAAGGGTATATAAGAGTGTGTTTGTTGGTGATTTGAAGATAAAAACTCTGAAAACAAAGGATTCAATGAAAAACAAAGTGGTATCCCTTGTTTTCAGTATTTTGGATATGCCTCGTTTTCAGTATTTTGGATATGTTTTTGGTAGTAGATTTGGAAATTGAATCTCAATTTAAAAAAAAAATTCAATGTGTTTAATAATATATTTGTAAACTAGTGGTGGTTATCAACTAAATACTTTAATTCAATCTAAAATAATATTGATTGATTAATTAACATTTATTTTATAAATTTTGTAGAATTATTATTTTACAACATTATATAATTTATATTATATTATATTTTACCTGTTTTGATTCTAACAAAGTTTATAACATGAAATAGAGTATATTTCAAAGTCTTTATCTTTTTTTATTGTAATGTTGCATTTTAAATTTTTACTGTTTGGATCACTGGATTCGAAACAAGTTTTTAAAAACAAATTTGCCAAACGAGTTCTAAGCTCTTCAATTAAAAAGTGCAAAACTTGGTCATCAACTGTGACCAATGGGGATGGTGTTTTCCTAATTATCATTTTGAATATTTATGACTGACGATGCTATATTGAAATCTGAAACCTCAGTATCTTAGTCTTTCTTTATTTTTTCTTGATTGTCTTTTATCTTACAATTTTCCCCCTTAGGCACATATTCAAACATTGCGAGGTCGGATATTGGAGACGATTTTGACTCTGAGGTTCTTTATATTTCAATATGGCGTTGTGTACAAACTCCATCTCACAGGAAATGATACATCACTTGCGGTAACCTCTTTTTTCATGGTTTAGCCTTTTTTTTATCTGTTTTTCCTCTTGATGAGAAACTGAAAATATAGAATATATTTTGGTACTATGTTTAGTCAAAACTCGAAGTTCAATTTGTTTAATGAACATGGTTGATGAAAGCATGTTCTTTGTTGGTTATGGCTGCTGGGGGTGAACATGATCCAACTTGATTTGGAAGCTTGTTAGTTTCCAATTGTTAAGAAATAACCTGAAGTACTTAGTTTCCAATTGATGAAAGTATTAATAGAGGTAAGCTACACATGTAACGAAACGTAACATTTCGGCTTGAACTTTCTTAGCTTGTACCTTGGAAATATAATTGTAGAAAATGGGAGATTTCTTTGACCCTTTATAGGCGCAACCTTAAATCTAATTGAGGTCTTTCACTTCTCTGATCTAACAATTGTCTTCATGTATAGTTATATGGTTTCTCGTGGGTGGTGCTCGTTGGGATTGTTTTGATATTTAAGGTTTGTACAAGTTCCTCACAAATTCTTTACCTCATTCGCTAATAGTCTGCTGAAAGTTTTCAATGCAACTCATTTTAATCCGTCTTTCTCTGTAGATCTTCACCTTCAGTCCTAAAAAATCGACAAACTTCCAGCTATTTATGAGATTTATTCAGGGTGTCACAGCCATAGCTCTGGTTACAGCCCTTGGTCTAATTGTTGGCTTTACTCGCCTGTCAATAATTGACTTATTTGCAAGTGTTTTGGCGTTTATTCCTACTGGATGGGCCATATTAAGCGTAAGTTAAATATATATATATATATATATATATATATATATATATTTTTTTTTTTTTTTTTTCTTTCTAGAAGTCAATAAGCTATCGCAGGCACCTTTGTTTCTGATCGCTCATCTCTTCTGCTTGTTCTCAAACAGTTTGCAGTTACTTGGAAGAAAATAGTTAGGAGTCTAGGCTTGTGGGATTCAGTTCGTGAATTTGCCAGGATGTATGATGCTGGGATGGGTTTAATTATATTCGTCCCGATTGCATTCTTATCCTGGTTCCCATTCATTTCCACGTTCCAATCTCGTCTGCTCTTCAACCAAGCTTTCAGCCGTGGGCTCGAGATCTCGCTCATCCTTGCAGGAAACAAAGCTAACGTCGAGACGTAGTGATTTTACTAGAGAATGCATAGCCAGTAATATAGATAGATATTCTGTTTTATAGGGTGGTTTTGTATTGTTTTTTGTGAAGGCAAGATTCTGAGAGCATTGCTTCCATTTTGTTGGATGTGTAAGGGTATTTACTTTATATTATGGGTTCTTTATATTTTCTGTTTTTCTGTGCAGGGGGTAGGATTGGTAGATTTGCCAAGTAGTTTTACTCTTGAATTGGAGTTGATCATGTGCTTCTTGATTGGAGAATAATTATTTAGATCGTCTAATTTTTTTATAAGGATTAGTTTAAACATTTTAATGGCTCAAAAAATTGTGTTCTATATTATTGTTTAGTTATTATGTGTTCATGTTAGCCATTTGTATAGTATTAATATTCGTTGACACATTGGCGTTTCTATTGACATGTCCATATATCTATGACTTTTTCTTTAGTACAACATGTTGGGGAGGGGATTCGAACTAACAACTTCTTGGTTGGAGGTATATGTGAATTATGCTTGTTTTGGTCCATGTATTTATATGAGGTAAATCAATTTTTTTATCATAGTACAAAAAAAATCGATAAAATAAAAAACATTAACAAAATGTCACTAATATATACATAATATTAATATTAATCATTTTTAACTTATTTAGATATAGAAAAATAGTTTTTATTAATTTAAATATCTTTTACTATTTTTTAATCTCTCTAATTTTTATAGAAATATCTAAATTGATCTTGACATTTCTAGGCATTTAAAACCTTGATTACTATAAGAAGAGCGGATAATTCTTTTTTCCATTAACTTTGTTTGGATTGTGGAATCTATTTTTTTTTTTACAACAAAATTGTAAAAACAAACCTACCATTGATAAATATTTACGCAACTAATAAGTTTACCCATGTGACACTTTGTGGAAAGAATCTGTTTAAATCTTCACTGTACCTTTTTTGGGTTTAAAGTTTAAACGCGTAAATTATTTTTGTTTAGAATTCAAAATGGGAGGGTAAATATAAAATAACATCTTTTAAAATATGAAAGGTAACTTATTGTTTTCTTTTTCTTTTTTTTTTAACATTATATATGAGTAAAATATAAACCTATAACTTATTAGAGAGGTCATTAACATTTTGACTCAATAAATTCCAGTTATTTATTCTTGTAAGATAAGTATAATAAGAATTATATTTTTCAAAATTATGATTTTTTAAAGTACCAAAATTGCATTTTATTAAACACGCTTTTTTTCCAACTATTCAAATGAAAAAATATTTGACGATAAAAGTTTCAATACTGTGATAGGCTACTATTAAGAATAATGTGTGCTATAAAAAATTAAAAAAAAGGTTATTATCATAGTGCTAGGAACAGTTCTTATCATAGTGTAACATTATGTAAGGCAAAGTTTAGAGTAAAGTGTAAAATATGATATGATAGGTAGATTATTATCTTTTTTATTATTATTTTTTGAAAATATAACACTAGTGAAGATTTAAACTTTAAAATTACTAAAATTAGACTTAAAATATGGTATATAAAGTGATTTTAAATCTATAAATAAATATCTATCGACGTATTAAAATGTTGAATGAAAATACTAATTTAACATTTAGGGTTCGTTGTTTAAATCGAATAAGAAATAATTGGGATAAAAACCAACAGGAATCTGGAGACCGCGGACTCGGAGGTGTGTCGTAAAAGCTATTGATCTTTTGGCGGGAAAGATTTTGATGGAGAAATTTGTAAGAGGTAACAATGGGCTATGGATTCTTGAGATCGTTTGTTCATTGATTTCCGCATGATATTTGGCTTTTCCTCCATAATCGCAACATGTTAACTTCTCGTCTCACTTCCTCTGCTACTAATGTACTCTCATTTCCTCGATGATTTTGATGTATTGGGTTTCATCTTCGTCCTAGATTTGGATTCCCATTCAAATGTTATTCTGATCTCTCTTTTTTTTGCAGTTAGAGAAGCCGAGCAAGTAGAATGAAGCGAAACGGTCGAACTTCCTCTGGAAGCTCAAAAGAGAAGGTTAGATTTTTTTTTTTTTTTTCTTCATTGATTCGCTTGGGAGAACAAACACCAATGAGACTCAATATTATGTTCAACGATTTTTTGTTAAAGGCGGTTTCCAAAGTTTTTACGAGAGAGTTGTGTTTCTCATCTGAAGAACCAGAAAACAAGGTTAAGCATAGTATCTCATAATTTTGTATATTCTGTGATATCAACGTTGAGAGTTATTTTTAAGACTTTTGATCGTAATGCTGCTACAAATGAGCCAGACATTCTCTGCTTGTGAGAATGATTTTTATTTTAACACAGTGGATTATTCGTAGTCAGCTGGCCGTAAAAATTTTTTAATTTTTACAGATACCGTTTACTACATCTGAGCTCCTGCCCTTTAATGTTGTCGCGTTTCAGTTCTTGGATCCTTTTTTTCTGAGAGCATTATATTTTTCTTTCCCCTTTGGGCATCGCTGGAATTCTTGCTAGTGTTATCTGTTGGGCAGTCTCTTCTGTAATTGGCATTTGAAAATAGTATTAACTTTCTGGATCTTACATTAGTATTGAATTAAATTACATTGAATACGTATTTCCTTCAAGGCTCAAGCAAATTCATTTCTGACAGAATTTTTAGTGGATTGACTCATCATTTTTACATTTCCTTTTTCACATGTTTCATTTACCTTTCTGATTTTTACACTTCTAAACTCAGTTTTTATTTCCTTTGTTTATAATGATAGAAGAGGTTTGATCTTTCAATGGACTCGATTAGTCAGCTGCCGAATGATATTCTAGTTTTCATCCTTTCTCGTCTAACACTGGAAGAAGCAGCAAGGACTAGTACTTTGTCACACAAGTGGAGATTCTTGTGGGCTTATATCCCTTGTCTGAATTTTGATGCTCAAAAAAAGTTGCGTGATTTACAATTTGCAGATGGGAACTTGGAAAGTGACAGACGACAATACGCAAGATGGGTGAGTCAAGTCATCAACTCATACAAGGGTCCAAATTTAGAAACATTAATAATTCGATTTAATTTGGATTCAAGGTTTCAATGTGATGTTGATAAATGGGTCCAATTTGCATTCCAGTGGAACCTTAAAATGTTTGAGTTGAACTTCTCGGATTGTTATGATTCTGGACAGTACGATCCTTGTTTTTTTCCACAATTATCTAATGGACCAAATGAGCATTTCCCAAGAGTTATGTTTTCTAATTCCAGTTCTCTTACAACCCTGAAGTTAGTATCTATCAATGTGGGTGGAGAAGTTCTGGAGTGCTTTTTGACCAACTGCCTTCTTCTTGAAGTACTGTGTGTCGAGTATTCTCATAGCCTTGTGAATCTTAGAGTTGTCGGTGCATCGCTTAAATTAAGGCAGTTAGATGTATACATGTGCAACTACCTGGAGAGTTTAGAAATTTCTGCACCAAATCTTGAATCTTTTAAATATGTTGGGCCGTGGTTAGGCATGCCCATGAAGAACGCACCCAAGCTCCTTGAGACACATTTTGGAAGCGAGTTTGGTCTAGAGATAGTCGACAATTGTTTTCTGCTCTCGAGCTACTCTTCACGGCTGCAGAAACTTGTTTTGGACCTCGAGGTCGACTTCATGGTTTGTATTTTATATTTGTCCTCTGCATCCTGATTCTTCAAGTTGAAGGAAGATTTCATTTTCTTGACGTGCACAATCTTTTGTTTTGTCAATAGGAAAACCAAGGACGTCGTGAGTGGCCTCTTTTGGCAAATCTCAGGGAACTGGAGTTGATAGTGCTAGCTGAAGGTCATTCAACCCTTCTTGGCTTCACTTCCCTGATAGAAGCATCCCCTTGCTTGCAAAAGTTTTCATTGAAGGTGAATAATCGGTTTTGCATTTTTGCCTATCTAAATTATAGATTGCAAAACGTGCTCGATTTGTTTTTTCTTGTGACCAGATTTTGAGAAGAGGAGATATTTATGTGAAATGCTTGCTGGTTATTTATATTTATCTTCTTTTCTTCAACCTGAAATGCTTCTTCATTATTGTTGCAGCTTGACTATAACGATATGTTTGAACAGCGAGCACTAGGCATGGTACCAAAAAGCCCCCATCAACACCTCAAAGTGGTTGAATTGGTTGGATTTGTTGGGAAACCAATCGATTTGGAGCTTGTCCAGTATTTGTATGAGAATGCCATTGCACTTGAGGAGATCGTCTTCGATACGCGCAAGCCGAGATACATGGGAACCATATTTGAAAATGAGCAAAATCCTGAGACTCGAGCAGGGCAAAAGCGCGCGAGCAGTCTTCAATCGATTCTCTTTTCCGGAGTGAAGGTAACCATCATTTAGATTTGGAATCAAAATTCTTGGATGGTAACTCTGTCAATATAGAACACCCTTTTTTGTATAGATGAGGTAGCTTGGAGGAATCTAGTATATGAAACCGTATAGAAAGCTTTGCTTGCAGTCCCTTTTTGTTACGTACATCCAAGAAGTTTTTGAGCAAATATTTTGGCAGTTAAATCCTTACTCTCTTCACTGTCGTCTTTGCCTCTATTGTTTAAGGAAGGACCTCTTCTAACCCAAACTATGAAAAACAGTTATTGGGAAATGCCAATTATATGTTACGTTATTTCATGGAAAATCTACTTTGATATTTTTAAACATGCTATCATGGAAATTATTGTGTCAAATCTTTGATGTTTCGCATCAATGACTTTAGTGCTTGGTATGTATTTTCTTTTCAGATTTGTTCTTTTTGAGTTTTTTCTATTTAATTTTGGATTTTCTTTCTGATTATTTAATGAGTTTAAATTTAAAGTTTCATGGTTATGGATGAGCATCGGTTACTCTCTCAACTATGATATTTTAAGTTATAGTAGTTCAAACTATTTCTTTCACATCAGCGATGAGAAAAATATTTTAGACATATCTATTATGATGATATTTTTAGGTTAACACTGGTAATAAAAAAAGAAAAAAGAAATCTAACTAATTTCAATTTTCAAATAGAAGTAAATTAATTTTGATTGAGATGATCTTAGAAAATGATATTTTTATTCATTATTAAGCATGATTCAACAACTCTTATTTTCTACAAAAGTCGGATGATAAATATTTAAAATGAGAAATATGATAGAAAAAGGAAGTCGTGGAATGGACGGTGATGAACGACGTGGACGACCGAGCTCACGTAAATATTCGAACACCGAATAATTCACGACTTTATTACAATACAATGCAAATATAATAGCTTCATCCATTGATGGAAAATTATCTGGTTCCCGCTTCAACCTATTCTATTCAGTCGCAAAACCAAATGCAAACTCTCTTAAACCCTTCACATTTCTTCACCTTCCCTAAGCTCCTAAACTCTCGAAACTCCAATTCTCCTCATTCTTCCTTTCAATGGCGTCCTCTCCTCTCTCCGCCGGTTATTTTTTCCGGCAACTTCACCGTGAAGTGCTTCAGCTCAGACGAGTTCCCTGTGGACGAATCCTTCCTCGAGAATTTTGGTCCGAAAGACAAGGAGACAGAGGACGAAGCTCGGACGCGTAACTGGATTGAACGTGGTTGGGCCCCCTGGGAAGAAGTCTTCACTCCAGAAGCCGATTTTGCGCGGAAGAGTTTGAATGAAGGCGAGGAAGTGCCGCTTCAGACCCCTGAGGCGATTGAAGCGTTCAAAATGTTGAGTCCAAAGTACCGGAAGAACAAGATGGAGGAAATGGGGTT